TTGCCAAAGTTACAAGGTTGTAACCTATGTAGAAACACAGTATTTCCATTGGTCAAATGACTATATAAAAGGGCTGTAGTGAAGGTTGTTTTCTTTCATGGTGCTGACTTTATCTTTGATTTATTAGGATAAAACATGAAACATGAAATGACAAGAATTATTTAGATCAGATTTAACCCCACATGTAGATTTTAACACTTTATAAGGCCACAAAAACTCATATTTTATCAATTTATGATATGTTCCATGAGCCTTTTCAACTTGTACGTATGGCAGACTTTCTCCAAGTGCACAGACTAAAACAAAAGAGGACCATTGCACAGTTTGATTGTTAAAAATAAAGGACCTTACTTAAAAAATATTTGTATTTCATGTATTATATTGCTGCACTTGGCCCGCAGCTCTGGATAGATTTTCATTTTGGCCCCCTCGGGGAAAATGTTTGGGCACCCCTGAAATAAATGTTTCTTCACCTCATAAAAATATTAAACCAAGTCCATTTTTTATTTGCTAAATTAAAATTTTTGTGGATAAAATGTTTGAAGTCATATTTTCAGTCTTGTGGAAACAGATGTTCTTCATCCACCAGATGTCGCTCTTCTTCACAGCTGATCCTCTTTGTTTTGTTTCTCAAAGAGGAATCCCCCACAAAAACAAGGAGTGACGCATCAGGAGGAGACCCCGGTTTTGTCGAGTAAGCTTTGGGGGGATCTGGTGCTGGCGGGGTCATCTGGTCCGTGTCACCCTCTGATGGATTTATGACTCAGCGGAATTTAAAACAACAGAGGATCTTTGTTCAAACCGCCTGAAGCAACATTTCTGCACTGAATCCACCTTTTTCTCTGTTTTCTCAGAGTCCCAGCAGAGGGTGTGGCCTCCTGCAGGTTCTGCTCCAAATAAGGGGAAAGTTGTTTGAAATTCTTCAAAAAAGGCTCCAGTGTTTGGATCCTGAGGAAACTTTACGGACCCTAGGAAAGGAGATATTAATAACTCCAGACCAGCCCACCACATTCCTCACATGTGAGTCACTGTAAGGCAGGGAGCAGGGAGCAACAGGAGTGGATTACCTCCTTTTTACAAAGGAGTGGAACCAGGAGGCCTCAGGGTCTCCCCCTCAGGAAACTTTGAAAAAAATAAATAAATAAAAAGTCAAACATTTTGTGTTCAAAGCACAAAGGTTTAGAGAGCTGGTGGGATGAGACGGACCACGTGGTCTGAGGGGGGGCAGGGGAGGCCCCAGATGGAAAATGGTGCTATGGGGCCTTGGCAGAGGGGAGTGTGAGTCACTGTTGATCTGCCCCGTCACCAGGAGACCAAAGGAGCCCGACGGAAAGAAAAAACAAACACGTTCCACTGCTGGCTCTGGAGGAGTTCACTTTTTGATGCTTAAAACCCAAAATGTCTGGAAAAGTTGTGCAACACAAACAACTAGAGAAGAGGCATTTCTGCAGTATGCAGCGTGAACGCTTAAAGAGCGCTGAGAGATTCTTCCAGGAAAAAAAGAAAAGATGAACAGAAATGTTGCCAAAAAAAGCTGAAATTAGCATAAAAGTAGCTGTAAAAGCTAAATCTAGCACAAAGAAGCAGAAAGAGCACGTTTGCTGAAAGAAGCCTAAAAGCTTAATTTAGTAAAATTAAGCTGATAAAAGCACAAAATATTTAATTAGCAGGACAACTGAAATGAGCAGAAAGATGGCTGAATAAAAACAAAAAGCCCAAATTAGCTGAAAATAGTTAAAAGTAACTTAAATTGTTCAAATCAGCTGAAAGAAGCAGAAAAAGTTTGCACAGTTGATAACACAAAAGATTAAATTAGCAGAACAGCTGACAAGAGCAGATAGCTGAAAAAGAGGCTAAAATTAGGAAAAAAGAAGCCAAGAGAAGCTAAAAAATAGCTTAAACTGCAGAAAAAAACTGAAAGAAGCATAAAAGCTTAATTTAGTAAAAAATAAGCTTACAGAAGCACAAAATATTTAATTAGCAGGACAGCTGAAATGAAAAGAAAAAAAAGCTGAAAAAAACAAAAAGCTCAAATTAGCTGAAAATAGTTAAAAGTAACTTAAATTGTACAAATCAGCTGAAAGAAGCATCAAAAACCTAAATTAGCAGAAATCTGATAAAACAAAAAATAGAACAGCTGAAATGAGCAGAAAGAAAACCGAAAAAGCTAAAATTGGCTGAAAATAGCTAAAGTTGCCTAATTTGTAAAACAGCTGAAAGAAACAAAAAGCTTAAATTAGCAGAAAGAAAAAAATGTAATTAGCAGAATAGCTGAAAAGAGCAGAAAGATAGCCAAGAAAAAACAAGAGGGCAAAATTAGCAAAAAAGAAGCCGAAAGAAGCTAAAATTAGTTCAAAGAGATTAAAAAATTTGAACAAAAACAAAAGGTGAAAAAAACTATTTTGAAGGATCTTAAGAACATTGAAGACAGCTCCAATCATTTTCAATGACAAAAAAATGATGAAAAAGCTAAAATATCTCAAAAAGTATAAATTGATGAAATATCAAAAGTCATAGCTGGAGCTGAACGTTCATGAGTTGCTAAAATAGCCCAAAAATTGCGGAACGAGAAGCGAAAAATGTATCATCAGTGTGAATTCTTTACAAATATTCACATTATTCATCTTTTTCCTTCACAGGTTGCAGGAGGACACAGTCTGCAGCAGAAATCGCAAGACTGCACGGTGGCTCGGCGGGCCTCGTGGTCCTGAGCTCACAGGTTCAAAACCTAGGAAGGAAATTTGCAGTAAAACAATCCAATCTTTCAGGTTTGTTCACAGAAAGAAAAACACAAGATGATATATTCAAAGTATCAAATTTTAGCAAAAAGTGCAACAAAAACTTTGGTGAGGAGAAACGTCACATTTTATTTCGTTTTTATTCATATACAGTAGTCAATAAATTTGTCTTTCAGTCTGGTTAGAGCTCATCTTAGCAGGTGAAACAACAGCAACGTTTATAAAAAATAATACGTATCGTGTGAAAAGCACGAAAGTGAAATTAATTCAGGCTGTTAGGATTGTGCTTCAGAATAAAAAAAGAACAAACATGAGCTAAGCAGGTCTTTGTTTAAAAAAAATAAAAATAATATTCTCACAAAGCAAATACGTTCCAGCATCAATATATCACTGATTAAATGTTTGGTGCTTTAATACAGAAACTTTATTTTCTAATATAAAGTTTAAAGCTTTTCTCTCAGCGACGCTTTTCAACAAACACAAATAAAAAAGAACAAACATTAAAAAAGAAAAAAGAAACGCCCAAACATGTTGACTGCTTCTGTTTGTTCAGCTGTGCAGGTGTACGGTCTCAGGTGAGCTATGCAGCACTGTGCAAAAGTTTTAAACCTCTCCAGGCTTCTTTAGTCAGAATTTCTTCTGTTTTTTAATGGTGGTCCTGATCTGTAGGTTTTCAGACTTTGTCTGCTTTTTCACTCACTTCCTGATTGTGAACGCATTTTGTGCACATTTGGCTTTTTGATAGTTCTTGTTAGAGCTAAAACACTAGAATCTGTCTGTCTGTGTATTTTTTTTATCAGTTATCAGTTGAGTTTTAGGAGGTCAGAGTTAAAACGGCTCAATGAATTAAACATGCAAATGAGTGAAAAAGCAGTAAGTATAACTAAGGATTACTTTCTGAAAGTTACCTTTAAACCTGCAGAAATTCGTGAATTTTTTTTTTTTTTTTTTTTTGCGAAGTCTAGAGCTTAGAGTAAGGGTCTGCAACCTGTGGCTCCAGGGACACAAGAGATACATTATTTTTGTTTTTTATACTCACAAAAAAGGCTAACTTTGGCAATTTTTATATCAATTTGTTCACAAATATGTGACGGAAATTACTATTTAATTTTATATGTGAATGCATGTAAATTAGCAGTATGATTTAGTAAATTCAAAGGGGGGCTCAAATCTTGCCAAGGGCACCAAATTGTCTACGGCCAGCCCTGGTGAAACATGTTAGATCTTGCTAGCAGCCTGTTAGCCACTTCAATAATCCATCTTCCAGCCTTAAAGTTGGATGTTTCTCTCAAACTGAGGTTTATAGTAACTCAGTACATTTACCTCGTTAAAGGAGGATTTGTAATTTTAGCAATCTTTTAAATAGCTACTTTTACTTTTATCATTTTAAAGCTAAAAATGATACTTTTACTTCTTTACTTTAAAATGTAACACCTAGTTACTTGTTACAAAAATAAATATGTTTGAACTCATCATGAAAGATGTTTATGCACTCTAAAAAATGAAGTGTTGAATTTACTCAACAAAGTCAAGTCAACTGGCTCCACTAAGCCTAGTTGAGTAAATTGATCAAAGAAAATACAAATATTGTTCAATTTACTCAACCTGGTTTAGTGGAACCAGTTTGGTTCAGTAAATTCAACAGTTTATTTTATAGAGTGTGTAAAAGTGCTTTTACTTTTCCAATTTTTGTGAACAGTTTTATGACTTTTACTTGAGTAGTTTTCTCATCAGTGAAATTTATTTTTAACAAAGTCATTTTCTGTTCATGCAATTTTACTTTTACTTAGTTTTTTTTCAAGTACTTAACAGACCTCTGCTCTCAAATCCATCAGGTTCAGCTTTAAAACCCTTTAAGAGTAAGAGTTTGCTTAGACTACATAATAAGAATTTTGTTTAAAAGTTGTAGTTTTTAGTAAATCTAGTATAAACTATTCTTTACATGAATAATATATTTTTCTCCTGAAGTGTAAAAATAATAATAAACATTAAATTTCGCCCTTTTTTTAGTTTTATAATATTGCACCCACCAGCCCCATTCAACAGACTCGAAATGGCCCACGGACCACCTGTTGATGATCACAGTTGTGCCCCTTTTTTCAACTCGGGACACATTTTATTAGTAAAGGTTGCAGACCCTTAGAGCCTTAGAGCAGAGGTTCTCAAACTGGGGTCCATGAGAGGTATTTTGGGGGTCCCCAAAAATTTCACTAACTTCTTACTTTGGTTTTTATTTTAAAAAATGCGTAGGGAACAATGAAATAATAAAACAAACATAACAAACTAAATAAAATATATATATTCCCATGGCATTTAGGGGTTGAAATGAGCGTAAATTATCTTTTACAACAGCACAGGGTTTATGAGGGGGTCCCTGGAATTGTTTTGCCCTTGTAAGGGGTCCCCAGACCCAAATGGTTTGAGTTGAGTGCTACCAGTTTAGACTAGTATTTGTAAAATTCGCTGAGTCATGGTCATTTTTGTGCCGACTCCTTTGAAGGAACAAGGAATGAGTCTGGACTTTACCGTGTGACGTGTTTGTGTAGGCTGAGAGGATGAAAGCAAAAACAGACAGTAGCATGAAGTGGGTCAGGAGGCGAGCTGTTCCTTACGCATCCGAGCCCTTCTGCCGGCGTTTGGAGGGTGGGACCAGGCGACTAGGCAGCTCGGGCGGCAGGCCGTGCCCCTCCAGCTTCACCTCAATCAGGTGGCTGGCCAGGGCGAACTCCTCGTCGTCCAGCATGCCGTCGCGGTCCACGTCGGACAGCTTCCAGATGCGGCCCAGGACGGAGTTGGGCAGGCGGGAGCTCACCATCCAGTCCTTGGCCTTGGTGCCGCTCAGCTTCCCCTCGTTGGGGGCGAGGTTGTAGAAGATTTCGTCGTATTTGGGCTTGTCTTTGGTCACCACCCAGTCCTCCTCCTCCTCGCACGGCTCCCCGTTCTCCACGGCGAAGGGGTCGCCCTCCATGAAGGGTCCGGCCCGGGTCCCCAGGAAGGCGCCGCCCTGAACGCCGGGCTGGTCCCCGGCCTCCAGCTCCTCCTGCCGCAGGAGGGGCATCAGCTTGGCGATGTCGGAGGCGAGCAGCTCGTCCAGGGCGGCCATCAGGTTCGGCTTTAATGTCTTAAACTTGGAGAAATCGTGAGCCATCAGTTGTTCCTTTAACATAAACAAGAATGAGTAAACAATCGTAAACAGAGGCTGTGTCCAAAACGGTGGGCTGGGTCCTCCAAAGGACCCGGCCCACCGTTTTGGACACAGCCAAAGATAATGTGTGGTGACTCAAACGGACCTGCATCTTGGTGCAGTCGGGGAAATCTCCAGGAGAGATGTTGTGCTGCAGCTGAATCTTGGAGAAAATCACCGGCAGCTGGTAGATCAGGTTCTTCTTCTTGTTGTCCTTCCTGAAGACTGATCGCATCTCCTGCTTCAGGTAGCTGATGATGTGGGCATGAACCTGCAGGGAAACACCTTAGAGGTTCTTCAACCGCTCCAAGGATCACCCGTTAGGAAGTCGACGGCGCGCGGGGTCACCTACCCTGACCAGGCGTGCCCTTTTCACCAGGTCGTTGAGTTTCCGTAAAGCTGCGTTGCGTGGGAGGTTCTGGATGTCGGCGAACAGGTCCTCCTCCTCCAGCTCGAACAGCTTGCGGTTGTCCGTGACCATCAGCGGCTCCGACCAGAAGGAGCCGATGTACACGCGCAGGACCTCGGGGGTGCCGAACACCTTCCCCAGGGACCACATCAGGGCACCGTAGACCCTCATCAGCTGCTGGGTGCCCACCATATCTGCCTTGTTGAGGACCACTCGCAGCTTGTCCTCGTTGCCCTTCAGGGCCCCGATGGCCTCGGAGAACTCGTCAGAAATCTCCAGCTTGTGGGCGTCGAACAGCAGGATGATCCGGTCCACTCGCTCCGCAAACCAGCGCAGAACCGCCGGGAAGTCGTAGCCTGGAGGAACGAAGAGAATGGAGGGAGGAAAGAGAGAGAACGGAGGGAGGAGAGAGAGAGATCAGACATCCATCATCCATTCTTCCATCCATCCATCCATCCATCCATCCATCAGTTCATTCTTCCTTTCATCCATCCATCAGTTCATTCTTCCATCCATCCATCCATCCATCCATTCTTCCATCCATCCATCAGTTCATTCTTCCATCCATCCATCCATCCATCCATNCATCCATCAGTTCATTCTTCCATCCATCCATCCATCCATCCATTCTTCCATCCATCCATCAGTTCATTCTTCCATCCATCCATCCATCCATCCATCCATCCATCCATCCATCCATCCATTTCTCTCTCCAGCTTCTCCTGAGGATCTCCAGGAGTTCCCAGGCCAGAGGACATGTAGCCCTTCCAGCTCATTCTGGGTCTGCCCAGGGGTCTCATAATAACTGGAGGTCTGGAACATCTCAGTTAGGGCACCCAGAAGACCTCCTAATCAAATGCCTAAACCACCTCAGCTGATTGTTTCTATGTGGAGGAGCAGCAGATCTACTCCTCCGTGTGTTTGACCCTCATTAGTTTCAAGGATTCCTTCAGGAAAAGAAATACTTTGTATTTTGGTATCGTTGCGTTCACCACACTGAACGTGGAGCAGAGAAACCAAACAGCTGTGAGAGGAGCTCAGAAAAAACATTGTAGATATTCATGTTAAAGCTAAAAGATCATGTCGAAGTAGTTTCACATTCCTCTGACCACAGCTGACAATGTCATTAAAAATATAAGGTTCATGGAACTGTTGCCATCCTCCTAGGACATGGACACAAGAGGAAATGTGACCCCAGGTTGATCAGATGGATAGTAATGGTAGGAAAAGGAAGCCATTTAAAACGATTAAAGTTGAACTCCATGAACACATTTGGAATGGCCTCACTAGAAAAAGGGGACACAACTAATGACAAAAACATAAATTCCAGACTGGAATTCAGGAAAACACAACGATAAACCTAAAAGTTTCTGGAATCGATAAGACAAAACAAACTTTTTGGTTCCAGTACCATAAGTTGTGTTTTATGTATTATTATAGAAGAGTCCCAACACATGGTCATCATGGTTGTAAATAATAAAATACTTATGAAAAAGCTAAAAGCTGCATAACACAAGAGATGTCCAGGATAAAGAGAAAAGAACTGAAGTTGCTGCAGAATTTTGCGAAACATCATTTTTGATTCCCGAGCACCGGAGGCGATGTGCCGTTCACCTCCGCCGCTCTGAAGTGGGGGAGGAAAAAATGTTCCGGCTCATAATTCAAAACCATTAAAATGTAAACCGTTTTGCAAATTTATGGAGCGAGGAAGCGTGTTTGCAATGATTTGGATGTGCTGACTTTTTTCCCTGCAGTTAGATTCTTGCGCAGACTGGAGCAATAATGAGTTACTTGGAGCATGGGAGGACAGAGGAATGCTGCGAGATGAAGATGAAGGTCGTTATTTCTCAACAGTGCATTCCTCCAGATGTGCTGACAGAGCTGCTATCTGTTCTTCATTAGCAGTTTGCGGCTGCTCGGGGTCCTGCTGCCAGGCGTTATGGTGACAGAACAAACGGGTCTCGTGGGTTAGCCAAGCGTGCCGAGCAGATGAGTGGGTATGATGATGATGATGATGATGATGAGGAATCTCTGTTGCCCCGCCCCCTCTGCCCTCTCCTCACCTTTGTCACCCCGCTCACCTCGGCTCACTCTCTGCTTGGCTCCGGACAGGATCCCCGGCGTGTCGATGATGCTGATGCTCTCCAGGACCTGGTTCTGCATCTGGGCACACTGGAATCTGGTTTAGAAAGCAATGAGTTTATTCACAACGAAACATGATAACCAGATCATATTTTTAGTTTCATGGTAACAGCACAAAGCAAAGAGTTGAGAAAGGGCCATGTTCTCCACCGATGAGACCAAATGTTGGCGTTTTTGGCGGGAAATGTCTCGTTATTGTCTAGTTCTGGGTCTGTTCTGCATTAATGCCAATTTTTCGGGCTTTGTAAGCTTTCCCCTCATGCCAGAGGCACTAATGCACCCCCATACCATCAGAGAGGCAGGCTTGGCTGGACGCATACGTGTCCAGTTGTACAAATTGTTTGCATATTACACAGATTTCCCACCATTTTAGCACATATGCAGACCTAAAGAGAGAATCTCAAGGATTTTTTTTTAAATTTAGCTTTAAATGTATTATACATCTCAAAGCCTGTAAGGATATGTGAATTTTGTTCCATGCTCCTCCTCACACTAGACTAAATCATGTGTCAAACTCGAGGCCTGTGGGCCAAACGTGGCCCACCACCATGCTTTATGTGGCCCACAAGAGCTTCAAAGATGTATTAATGTCTTAAAATAAGCTGCTTTAAAGCCAGCACTGATCATAAACTACATTTCCCATAATGCAACTTTTACCCACAAAGTGGCAGCATTCCACCACTAGGTGCACAGGTTGCACTTTTTCGCCGGCTTTTTTTTTTTTTTTTTTTTGCTGCAGTTGTCTTGGGAACAGGGAATTTCCCACTTACATGTCGTAAATTTAAATTGGAATGCCCTTCCAGTGGGAATTCCCTGTCGGAAAGAGGGAGAGTTCAGAATTCGAGAAGGCAGCTACTCACCACAGCTTAACAGTGAGTACAACTCTCTTACTTTTACCTTTAAAACTATTTCTGTTTTATTTATTTCACATTTAGTCAGTCGTACACGTAGTACTTTTCAGTGTTTATAAGAGGACGTGTTAAAACGCTGTTTCTATGCAGGAAATACCAGGTAGAGCAAATGTCATTAGTTCATTCCCTCAACATGTAGCGTGAGAGTATTACAGATTTTACATGACATTTACGTATTTCTGAAGGTCAGTTAAGGGGTTGACATATATCTCAGTCATCATGTTTAGTTGCAAATGAGTTTATGAGATTTGTAAATCGTTGCATTCTGTTTTTTTCTGAATTCATTTCACTTTGATTGAACCTCAGTTGTTAAATATGAAACAAAAGTTACAATTTATGGTTGTTTTTTCTTTAAAAACTCAGTATGATCAAAGAAAGCCATCAACCTTTCTTCCCTTTTAAATTTTTTTTTTCACAGATCCCCTCACACCCGGTCCCTCCCACCGTCGGGGCCCATTGTGTGCAGGTCGGCCCCGCTCCGCTCGGGGCTTCCTGAAGGAAAATGACCGTTACTGCCAGAATCAAACAATAAGATCTGCTAACGAGCTGAGGTTTGAAACAACAACACCGCTTCCTGCCGTTTAAGAGCTTAACGAGTCCGCAGCTCCCTCGCAGAACAGGAAGTCCCCGACGCAAAAGGAGACGCAAGTAGATGACCTCAGTGTGGAAAAACTTGCATCAGATGGAGACTCCGTGTTTCTGGTGGTTCTGCTGCACAGATCAGACGGTTGACTCAGTGGGAAAACGCGTACAAGAAGCTGGAACCCCCAGAAAATAAAGTTGTTAGGAAAGAACTGATTTACTAACCCCCCCCCCCCCTTCATCTCTGCTCCCCCTGAGGGTCCGTGGAGTCCTCTGACCTTGTGTTTCAACTTGTTTACAATAAAATCCCCCCCTTCATCACCCGCTCTGCTCCCTTTCTTCATTTTTCCACAAATAAGGCGAGTGACTCCTCACTCAGACATTTGGCACGGGCGCTTCAAATTCCACTTTCCACAAAACGTTCCGCCGGCCCCCCGGCCCCACCCCCCGCCTGCTGCTGATACCACAGAAACCCTGAGAGCAGACCCACCTGTTGAGGAAGGTGTTTCCGAACGGGTTGAGTTTGCGGAACGGCTTGTTGGGGTCTACGATCAGGGCGTTCCCTGGAATGACCCCCTCCACGTCCCCGTGCATGATGGCGGTGAAGCAGTCCGTGGTGGGCTCGGGACCGATCCTGCTCCCGGGGATTTCCTGCTCCAGCAAATACCTGTCGCAGAAATCTGGCGTTTGAATCGAATAAACCAGGGGGTCTGCAACATTTACAACCAAAAGGGCCATTTCTGCTCCTGGGCTCACTAATTTGTCCAAATAAGCTCCAGCTGTGATTATCAACTGGTGGTCCGTGGGCCTTTTTAGAGCCTTTTCGTGAACCTTTATGGCCAGTGGAGGTGACATAAACCTAAAAAATATATTGTGAATTTTATTATTTATTATTATTTTTACACTTCAGGACTGAAGAAAAAAAAAAACATTCGTGCACAAGAAAAATATTGGCTATAGTTTATACAGAATTTCATAAAAACCAGTACAGCTGACCTAGTCAGACATTTTTTTTCTAATTCTTCTTATTATGTAGTCTTAAAGGTGTTTAAAGATAATCCTGATGGATTTGAGAGAAAGATCATAGATTATTTAGGTAGAAAACAAGCTAGCATGAGCTAACGTTTCACTTTTTGTATTAGTATTTTTGTATTAGCAGTATTGATCACATATTTGCATGCAATTTATTAGTGTTGTGAGTATAAAAACCAAAACAAAGAAAAACATCTGTTGTTTGGTCACATTTCAAGGAGCCACTGCAGAGGGACCAAAGAGCCACATTTGGCCCCAGAGCCACAGGTTGCAGACCCCTGGAATAAACCAAACAAAACAGAAAAAAAAGGGGCAAAACTGAAGAAATTACTTGATGAAGGTGGTCTTTCCGGTGGAGTACTGTCCCACAACCAGAACCATGGGTTTGTTGTCAAAATCTGCATCCTCCAGACTGGGGGAGTGGAAGTCGTGGAAACTGTAAAACTGCTCCAGAGGCAGCAGCTTCTTACGGTACAAAGACTTCAGCCCCTCCGTCACGGTGCGGATCACCTCCGGCGCCTTCTTCACATTCTTACGCCCCCAGCGTGACATTTCTTAGCGGCTGATGGCGAGAAAAGAAATCACCTCTGCGTTTCCTGCAGGGCAAACCTTCAGGTGTTTCCTGTATTTATATAAAAGCCGCTCACTTGTCCTTGAGGCCTCTTCTGTACACAGCAGGAGGAACGATACGCCTGGACCTGGAAGCCTCTCCTTGAAAGTCGTTCCCACGCCGGCGGCCTTTAGCTCCTGAAACGTGGATGAAAACAGACAGATGAAACAAAAGAAACTAAAAACATGAAAGGGGGAAACGCACCGAATGAAATATTTGTGTTCCTGTTGGATGTAGAATGAAGATGAGGAATGTTGAGAGTACGCCTGGAAAACTTGCAAACCCAACCCCAGCTCATTTCCTTACAGTAAAATGAGTAAGACGATAATTTTATCTCCTGCAGTTCTTCTCAGTGGAACCGTAACAGACTAACCCATCAGTTTCTGATGAAGTCTGGGAGTAAAATATAAATACAAACAGGATTTAATGATTTCAAATACATCAAATATAAAATAAATTTAATGGCAGCAACATATCTTTACAATAAAATTGGTTTTTCCTGGACGTTTTAAACCCCGTACGTACTTTTCTGTATTTCGTACTGTTCATTTATTTATTGTTTTCAGTGATTTTTGGTCAACCGTAGCACAAAAAAACAGCTGCACTGATAACAGGAAATTTGGCAGGGCTGTAGATGAGTCCGACCTACACTGCACCCCCCCAAAGGTTTTACGATACACCCCAAATTTGAGGAAGGGGCTCCATCTAAAAATGGGGTGGCTGAACATATATAAATGCTTATAACTCAAAAACTATTCAACACAGGAGCTTCAGATTTTGTTGTTGTTGTTGCTTACTCTGATGATCCATCGGGCCCAACAATTTGCACCATCCACACACTCCAGACCCCCCACTCAAAACAATAAATCTGTTCTGGTACGTTCTGATGCGTTGGTGCTTTGCAGTATCTAGTTTCAAACAAGTTTTGGTTCCGAGAAGATGGTGATGTTTCTTCTTTTTTTGCACGATAGAGCTTTAAGTAATGGATGGCAGAGGATGATTTGTGGAAGAGATCCTGAGTCGATCCAGGAACGTTCGTTCTGTTTTATACACAGATTCAGCTTCTCGACAATGTTCTTTTGAAATCCAGTCCTCTTCCTGACCCGTCGCCTGATTAGTTACTTAATGACACAACTTTTAACGAAGTGTTGCTGCTGTTAAATTCAAACAAACCTTTTTTTTCCCCATAAAATAATAGTTTTTTAGTTTAAAGAAAACTTGTTCCATTTTTTACAAGATTTGCTTTGTGGTTTTGACATTTTTCAGTAACGAGGTCGTAAATGGAACCTCTGGGTCAGAACAGAGAGAGATATTGGGCTTTTAACTCATCTGTGCAGAACTTCTGTAGTTAATTTAGAAAAAAAAAAGAAGAATAAATCAGCCTTGGGGGGAACAGGGAGCACAGTCCTAACATGTCACAAGACCAGTGTGGAAAGTCAAAATGGCGATCTCTGGAGACGTTATATGTTGCCATCACAGACCAACGCTTCATTCCAACTATGATTATGAGAATCCTGTAAAGTTTGCTGAAGAATCTGGAGCTTGAAAGCTATTGAATAAAAGTGGTTTTCTGCACAGTTTTTAAGAAATACTTCTTTTATATTATTAAAACGTACATGAACATGAAAAAAAAACATAATTAGAGCATAAAAGCATTAATCTGTTAACGACACAAGCATCAAAATCAAAAATATAACTAATCAAACTTACAGATTTGTTTTATTTCTCAAGAGTTCTATTTTTAAAACTTAAAAAAAAAGTTATAATTTACCCAGCTGTTGAGTAATCCCTGGTCTCTTCCTCTCCAGTTTTCTCCTCTGAAGTCTGGAAAACTCAAAAACACACAGGGAAAGAAAAAAAAAGGTAGTTTTAGAGGAGCAGCTGCAGTCTGGGTGTACCTCCGGCAGCGAATGGGAGCCCTCCGTGGAGCTGGATTACAGAGGATCCTTCTTCTCCGGAGGGGTTTTTAATGCATTTCAGATGATCTCCTCCTGCAGTGATGCCTGAACAGCTCTGAGCTTCTGCAGAGCGATGGGCTGAACAGCAGCCAGAGGGCGTGGGCCTGGAAGAAGTGGGGGGGGTTGTTGTGATTAAATGATTTGGGTGGTTCTGCTCTTTTTTTTTTTTTAAATGACATAACAAACTCCTGCATGTTTCAAGTCATACAACCGCTCTTGTTTTCAAACTTTTCTTCTTTTTTCTCTCATAATTAAATGTGCACCAACATGTCAGGATGGATTTTCCCCTCAGTTCGTGCTCCTCCTGCTGGTCATAAAAGCCTTTAAATCCAACAAAACCACATGAAAACTCTTAACTGTTTCATAAAAGAAGCAAGGTTTAATTTACAGTCTTACTAAATGTACATTTCTTTTTAAAAAGTGTCATTATACACAATAAATACAATACAAAATTAATCTGTAATACTATACTTCAAATTCTCTTCCGGTCTTTTTTTATTTTGTACATTATTATCGTTCCTTTTTTTAAAATCTCCATTTCAATGCTTGTGCTGTGTTTGTGTTTGAATTGTCCAAAAAAAAAGAAAAAGAAAAAAAAAAGCGTCAGAAAAGCTGAAAACACACAGAAAACGAGCTAAAACCGGCCTGACCCCTGCTGATCAAAATGCATAACGCTCCGACCCGACAGAACGTGAGAGCCAGAGGAAGAGTGGTCTGAAAACAAAACAAAAAACACCTTTTATATTCTGACATCATGGTTTTACAGTATCAGAAACACGTTTAAACGTTAAAACTTTTGCAGCTTTGAGGCCGACGAGCCAAATAAAACAAAAGTTAATGTGCTGTTTGATTCTGTAAGGCAGCGTCGTCTTTGTGAAATATATAAAAAACAGTAACTATTGTGACCTTTTACAGTTATTTACGCTGATCTGGGACTTTATTTCTATCGTTTTTAATGCAAACAGATTATCAGCCGATCACTCCATGCATTTAGGCGTGTAGACGTGACGAAAACGACTTTTATTTGACTTTGTGAGGTTTTAAAACCCAAACCATCTCAGGTCTAAAAAAAAAAAATAGAAAACTTCAGAATGACATCTTCAAGAAAAAAAAACATGTTAAAATCGCTTTTACCCACTTCTCTTCCTCTGATGCTCATTTTCAACATCTAGATGCCTAAATGCTTCGACTACGCTGCATAAAGTTTCAATCTAAAGTCTTACACACTTCTATCCAACATAAAAGTATTTTTGATTTTGTTTTGAGGCTGATATATGAAGCAAGAGATTATTAATCTTGTTAGACTTAATAAAAAAGGTGTAATAATCTAACACATTCTGCATCAAATCAAGATTAAAAATTTTTTTTTCTGAATATAAGTGTGCAAGACTTGGTTAGGTGATATTTTTTGCAGTGTAGGTGTGTTCGGCTGAACAGGTGCAGATAATAAAGAGTGACGTAATGCTTTTAACCCTTTGTGAACTGTAGAAACAAACTCAGAGGGACACCGTTCTGCTGCTCAGACCGCGTGAAAGGAATGTTCACATACAGAAAGGAAAAAAGGTGAAAAGGGAAACTCATCTTGATGCTAACAAAAAAAAAAGAAAAGAAAAACAGGTCAAAATGTCGAGTCAGCACATTTATTCTAGCAGGAAGTTCGGACTGCATGAGACAGAAACGTCTGGACAATTCAAAAAGGACAAACACATCCAGCTGAGCGCGGCAGAGTAGAACCGTCCGTGACCCGGCCCCCTGGGGGGCTGTTATCTGCTCTGAGTCTGGGGCACCAGGCTGCCGTTGTGGCCTCGGCCCCCGACCTGCTGGGCCAGCGAGGACGACGGCGAGGCGGACGAGGGGGCCGGGACCGACGGCCTGTGAGACGAGGCGGCCGAGTCCCCCGGGCGCTGGCTTTGGTGGTGGGGCCTGCCGCTGCCCCCCCTGATGTGCAGGCCGCAGGCGGGGGGCTCCTGCTGCAGGTTGAGGATGCTGTCGATGGCGCACTGCAGGTGCTCGTTCAGGGAGTCGTCTGGAGGGCTGCCGCTGGAGAAGCTGGCGTTGTCCATGTCGGGGGAGTCCGACTTGCAGCGTTTGGCAGGAAGGTGGGAGTCCCGTGTGAAGGAGGACTCCGGGGAGGGGGGCCCAGGGGCGTGTTGGTCCATTCTGAACGTCCCTCCTGTCCTGTGTCGGTTTTTCTCGTTCAGCCTTTTGTATTTGCCGACGTCCGGCTCCTGGTCGGCGCGCTCCTCCCCCCGGTCCTGCGCCCCCTCCCTGTTCAGGAGCAGCGAGAGGTGGTGGTGCTGCGCAGGTCTCACGCCGCGGCCCAACACCTCATTCACCCGGTCCGACCCCAGACCCCCCCGCTCTCTCCGGTCCACCTTCACGCTGGCTATGACCGTCCGCTCTGAGGGAGGGGTGGAGGCCTCGTGCCCGGGGGGCGACGGGGTGGTTCCGGGGTGGGACAGGCTGTCCCCGCCTCCTCCCGGGACCCCGGGCCGGACCCGGGGACTGACGTTCTCCCGGTAGGTTTTTCGAAGCGGCAGCCGGCAGGTGGTCTGCGGGGGGGCGGCGATGGAGGCGGGGCTGTGTTTGGAGCTGTGGTCCAACGATCCGTTCATCTGCGTCGACGAGGAGGAAGAGGAGGCAGTGGGGGGAGCGCCGTCTCTCAGCAGGGGGTTGCACTGAGTGGTTGTTGTGGGGACCGACGCCGGGGACTGGGCTCTGGGAGGCGTCGATGGAAGGTGGGACTTGGCGGGTTCTGGCTGAGCCCGAGGTTCGGGCGTGGACTGGCCGCTCCGCCGAGGCTGGGGGGCGTGCTCCGGGTCCAGGGCGGTGTTGTGGACCACCTTGCTGAAGCCCGTCTGGTCCTGCTTGATCTTCAGCTTCAGGCTGATCCTCCTGCGAGCCTCGTAGGTCTTGATGGGCGGTTTGCTGGTCCGCTGAGGGAGAGCGTCGTCGTCGTCGGGCGAAGGCGACGCCACTGGAGAGCGGCTGAAGGCGGAGGTCTGACCGGCCGGCTCCGGACAGCTGGAGGACCAGGACACCGAGGCTCCGCCTCCGCCCTGCTTTATGACCAGTTTGGTTGGCGGGAACGGGGAGTGGGAGGGAGGGGCAGGAGCTGGAGCGGGAACCGGAGCAGGAGGAGGGTTCGGTGTCACGTTGGGAAGAGGAGCTGGGACGGGAGCAGCAGGTACCACAACGGGAACAGGAACTGATGCGCCTGAACTCACTGAGGAGACCTCAGGAGGCGACAGCTTTTGTTGGGATGAAACTCCGCTCTCTAACATTCGAACGCTGGCCACAAACTCCTCTGCAAAGAAAAATCAAAAACAAAATAAAACCACACGACAACTTTCATTTGGTTCAGACCGAGAAAAACACAAAACCACACAAAGGTACCTGGTCTCTCCTTCGCCAAGATCCTGTCCTGACTCAAGGCGACCTTCTCCTCCTGAATGAACATCCTGTCGATCATCACCATCTCTGCCGAGGGGCCCAGTCTCTGCTCAGGTTCAAACATCCAAAACAGTCGCCTCAAAATCAGCTCGAAACAGAAAAACTGCCGCTTCTTCTGAGAGGAAGCTGCTTTATAAACTTACTTTAGACTCTGCAAACAGCAGGTAACGATATTTATCCAGCATGGCCTGCGTCCTCTTCAGCAGCTGGCAGGAGACCCTCTCAAACTCATCGTCCACTGCGTCCAAAAAACATAAATAAATAAAATAAAACAACGTTTATGAGGACAGAGTGTCCAAACCTTCCAGCTGTTTTCTCCTGTTTTCCTGTTCAGAGTTGATCTTCAGCAGATTACTTAACCCTTTCTGACATTCAGGCATCAAAACATTCGGCTCACTCAAAACATCACAGCTTTGACTTCTGATTGTTTGTAACTTTTAATTATTTAGCTTTTTTTAAATGTATTAATAAGAGTGATCGCATCAAATCTTTGTTAGCTTTAGCATTTAGCTACTATTAAACTACTGTTATTATTTTAACCTTCAGCTACTGTTTAGTTTTAGCTAGTTTTTTTTACTCGTCTTAGCTTTTAATTACTGTTTACCAGTTCTAGATTTTAAGTGAAGGAAAAGTTTAGCTTGTTTTAGCTGTTAGATGCTGCTCTGATCATTTTACCTGACACCTACTCTTATAAGTTTTACGTTTAGCAGCTGTTCAGCTGTTTTTAGCTTTAGACTACAGATCTGATCATTTTAACTTTTAAACTACTGGTATGCTATACTTAGTTAGCATAACAGTTAGCTAATGTTTTGCTAGTCTTAGCCTTTAGCTACTGCTGTCTATTTTTAGCTATAAACTAATGTTCTGCTTATTATACATTTCAGCTATTGTTCTGCTGGCTTTAGCTTATACTGTCTGTTCTGATAAATGTATCTGAAAGCTGTTTTGCTGGTTTTTGCGTTATAATTATTGCACATTTTAGCTTTTAGTTATCTTTTTTTTAATTTAGCTTTTAGCTACTCTTTGACTAGTTTTTCTTCATAGAATTTGTTTTGCTTATTTAAATTTTTGCCAATTTTTTACATTCAGCTTTTACTTTTTAATTTAGCTTATTTTAAGT